CAAACATAATTAAAGTGCTTATTCTCTGTCTCCTCCATTAGATAGTGAAGTGCTGGTGAATACTTTGTTTTCTCTGTTACTCCAGCCCTAGAACAGGGCCTGCCACGTGGCAAGTGCTTGATGACAATTTTATAATTCATGAATGAATAACAACTAACAGTTACTGAGTGATTGCTGAGTTCAAGATTCTTTTAAATGCTGCATGTTTTTAAAATTTTATGTTATTTAAAGAAATAATAGAATAAAAGTAAGGTATTTTTAGACTGCAAGTGTCTCTAGGGCAAATACATGCCATGTTAATATGGGCACCGTTGAAAGGTTGATTGAAGAAAGGAATGCTTAAATCAGAATTAATTTGCCTGCCTTCCATGATCATATGACAGACAAAGCAGCTGGCAGCAGAGATCCCTACACAGCGGGTTTTGTTTCAGGGATGGGAAGAAGAATGAAAGCTTCCTGCATCCTAAACCGGCCGGCTCACCCAGGGCCTTTGGTCCTGGTTTCCCACAGTTTCTGTTCCATGTCTGGAGAGACCTGTGTTCGTGCTTGTGCCAGGATGCAGCAAACTAAAGGGGCGGGCTCTTGGGGGAGATCTGCTCTCTACCAAAGAACGGGGAATTGGGGAGAACTCGGCACCAGGTCCTGATCTCAAAGGCTGTTCCAAGAGTTTAGATCCTGATTTTCCTGGAAATCAAGAATGAAAATGCCAATTTCCAGGCCACACAGCAGCTCTTTTGTATCTCACTCAAGAGTAACTCGATGAATATGTGTGGAATTTTCTCCCCATGGAATGTGAGGGGAAGGGAGTGTCACTGGTCAGAGGTCAGAATTCACTGTGGGCTTAGGGATCTTTGTGCCTAATGGGAAATGCCACAAGGGATGTGCTCGGGTCAGGCGGGGTTGTACTTGAAGTAAGTCAGGCTCCTAGATGGCAACCTTCGGTTTAGGATGTCAAGGCAAAAGGGCAGATCTGACTCAATGGTCTGACTCTGCTGGCAGAGACCGGAGAGGCCTTTGCAGTCTTGCTGTTCAACAGGCTTTCTTGGCTGGATCCCAGTCAAGATGAAGGGAAGGCCGCTTCACAGCCCCTTCAAAGTTTCTCTATAGAAGGATGAAGCCTCCTTTTTCTTGTGACACCTGTTGAAACAAGCAGCTTCTCTCTGCTTCCGAGGATCCCAAACAAAAGACACGAGGGCGTCTGGACTGTGGGAACAGAGCCTGGGACTCCTGAGAAGAAGCTGTGCTCTCCTGGCCACCTCCTGTCTCCGATCACGGGTCAAGCGGTACTGCTAAACAGGTATCACTTGGGGCCCAAGATGTGTTCGGGTGAAAGAGTGAATGAATGAAGCCCAGGACAGGACAGGTCTTCTATACCTTCTAATCTTGTGTTAGAAGCTGGGATCCCCGAAATAGGCCATCTCCAAAATAGTCCCCTGCGTGGCTGAACTTGCTAGTAGCCTAAGAAGGGCTCACCCTGTGGCCAGTTTTGAGAGAAGGATGCTTCTTTTCCAGCTTGAGGTCCAAGCTCCCCCAGATGAGGAGTGGGGAGTAACTCACAAAGTTACCAACTAGTTTCCTGTTCCTCATATCTGCCTTTGCCTGCTCAACTCTATTTCTAGCAGACAGCTTTTACAAGAGGAAACTGCAGGACAAAAACAGAATGTTTTGAAGTTGGTGGCTTTAAAGCTATTGGAGAGATTTTATTAAAATCCTGAGGAAACAGGAATACTTCCTACAGAACAGAAAGAAGGAAGAGGAGGGTTCTGCTGTTCTGCGCACTTCCCCAAGACAGGAAGAGACTCAAGGTCAGCGAAGTTCACCCTCTGTCACTTCCTTGATGGCATCAGAAGAGACGGACCCTGCAGATTATGGGCTGGGGGTGGTGCAGGCTTCCAGACTCAGCAGGGTGAGCCTTGTCCAAGTGGACAAGGACCAGAGTACCATCACCCTCGAAGACTAGAAAGGCAGGGAAGATGTGGTGACCAGGGTGAACTAACACACAAGATCCTCTTGGGCCTGCTCATCAGCCGTGACTAAGACAGAACTTCCACCATCTTGTGGATAAGGATCTAGAGTGGAATTTTAACTTGATTTAAATAAACTAAAAGTGATGTTTTTGGCATGCTTCTGTTATAAGGCTAAGCTTCATGCACATTAAGCAAGGAAACAGTTTCTTGGACACAGTGATTCCAAGGACCTCACAGATTGTTGGCTGTGGGTGAGGAGGGGAATGGCAGTTGGCCTGGTGGGTGCCAGTGAGCTCTGCTCCAGGCCGGGGAAAGCCCTGCGGGGCAAGCTTTGAGGGGCTCCTGCTCTCCTTGCAGGCACACAAATCTCACTCTTGCACAGGACGGATGTTGCACTGTTGTGCCCTCTGAGAGTAGCAGCCGGGCTGGATGTCCTAGGGCTCCAGCCACACAAGGTAGCCTGAGACTTTCTGCTTCTGAGGGTTGAACTGAAGGCCTCCTGCATGCTAAGTGCTGACCACTGATGAGCTACACCCCTAGCTGTGGGACCTTGTTTTAAAACAAAGTAAGTCCCAGGAAAACTGGGGCTAGCTAGTCACCCCACCTTGTTATCTGCTCATTGTCTCATTCAATCTTGGCTTCTCCACTTGCTGTAAGTCATCCATCTCAGATTGGGGGTCGGGATCTGATAGGAGAATCCCTTTCCTGTTTGCATAAGATATTGATCTCCCTCTAGAGTCCAAAAAGGAGAGAAGGTCAGGACTAGAAGAGATCAAGTGGTCAGGTTGGAACACATTTGAATAGACAAGGTCTTTATCAACAGATATTGGTTTCTGAGCTTTCCCTCCTTTAACCAACCAACCCTGGTCTTAGAGAAACGCAGGGCTCTTCCCCCTCATCCTCCGCTGTGGTCCCAAGAGCAATCACTTTGGAGAGAAGTTAGAAGATCTGCAGTTGGTGACCTGACTAGAAGGACTCATAGGAATTGGCCATGCAGCCAGGGACCCAACTCATGTAAATGCCAAGCACTAGGAAGCTGGGGTCTGTCCCTGAGAGGCAGCGCCTACCAGGTCCTACTTAGTAAAAAGCCCAAGGAGCCCCAGGACTGTCTGCTCAGGCAAGCAGGCTCTTTCCTCTGAGTTCCCATAGCATAGGATCCCAGCTTTCCTTGGATTCTTGAGAGAGTTTTACAGTGATCTTGTGCAGAACTCAATCCACATTACTTTTTATTTTCACTGGGCCTTGCAAAGTAGCAAAGAAACAGAAGCTAAGTAAATCACCTAGTCCACAACTAAGAGGTTTAAAATTTCACCTGCAGAAAAGCGTTCCGGGGAAGATGGACCTCACAGTTATCTTCTGTTTCCCTGAAACTCTCCCGCCCCTCTTGGTTATCCACTGGCAGGTCAGCATTTATGCCCTACACTGGAATGTATTTAGAAATTGTTCAATTCTTACACCATTTGTTATGTGTAACTGTGTAACAGGTGCTAGGCCAGGTAGAAACTTTAAATAGATAATGTCACTTCAATCTTCCAGATGTTATTATTATGCCCCGTTTTGAGACTAGGAGATGGAAAAAAATGAAACTGAAAATGTATTTTTTATAAGCTGTGTTGGAAAACTTGAGTTTGATCTTGAAGGTTTCTTCTCTTCTCCTTTGCCTCTTTATCTTTCTCCAAATATAAACATATATGAAAAGACTTCCCTATGTACACATCACACCTCCTAATACTTGAGGGCAAGGATTATATTGTATACCTCTTTAGGATCTCAGACTGCCACAATACCATTTTATAGATTTTTATGGATTTGTAAAAACAACTGAAGACCAGCAGGAAACCAGGGCAAAGCCTGAGTAACCCCAGTCTCACTTGCTTTTAGTTACCTGCTTTCCTCACCAAGCCTAGAGTCTCACAGCCAAGCTGCAGGCTCCCAGCAGCTGTGCTACAGGCAACGCTCTGATGTGTGCGGAACTTAAAGGGGGCAAAACCAGATGAAACTACCAACTTCTCGAAAGTCAGAGGCCCAAACTACACCTTCAGTGCACATTAACATAGCCAATTTCTAAACACACAGCCCATGATGAGCCACAAAGGTGATAACACGGTTGAATTCGCTTTGCCTCACCTCGGATCACTGTGCCCTGCTTTTTTATCCTGAACAGAGCCTGAAACTCTTTGACACTTGGAGCTCTTGCCTCCTATTTGGCTGCCTAGTGAATAAACTTTTCTTTCTGCCTGCTGTACACTGGGCAAAACTAGTCTTGTTTGGTGACCACAGGAGTTGGGTGATTTACAGGGTCACACAACAAGTGAACAGAAAAAGCACGAGGTCTAGAATTGCTACCCTGGTACTCAGTCAGCACAGGGCTCTGGGGTTGAGAGCTGGCATCAGCTTATGCTGTCAGATGAACTAATGAACGAACAAGAATAAATCCATGGGTGAAGAGTAATTTTATGGATTAGCTGGTTTAAGGACCATCTCAGGTCAGGCAACAAAAAAAGATGCCCCTGAGCTCTGAGTGATGTAAGTTTAACGGCCCATGCCCTATAGCCTGACTCAATTGCCAGAAAGTTCCTATTGAACTTTTGCCACTAAGGTGGCCCCTCTTAACCCCTTTCCTCTTGTTAAGAGGATTCTAGGGTGGTATTTGACTATGTCATCAAAAGAATCAAAAGAAAATGTAACACACTATTATCTTGAAAAGGCAAAGGTTTCTAAGCCCCCCTTTCTTCTACCTCCGACATGCCACTCCCCCCAAAGAACCCCTGGGAGCATCTGTGACTCGCTTCTCTACCCCTCACTCCCAGGCTTCACAGGAGCCTGTAAAAATGCAAAAGGAGATAAAGCTTGGGGAGGGATGGGGGTGAAGATTTCCTTTCACAGTGATGTGAATCGATTGCCCTCCTGGGAGTAGAGAGGAGGAAAGAGAGCCCAGCTGGGGGAGGGAAGCTCTGATGCCAAAGTCAAGTGTCCCTTTCCCACCCTTCCGTCCCAGGTCCCAGCTGTGTGGGGCCCCCCGGCTTTACTCACATCTGCCTCATTCCAGAGCCCCGGGATGCAGAAGGACTCCAGCAGGTCACTGCCACACAGCAGCAAGATCCGCAGCTCTGCGGGGGAACAGGTTTGCAGAGGGAGTGAGTGGAGGCCTGAGAAGGTCACCTTTCAGCCTCCTTCTCTTGATGAACAGGAAGTCTTGCCCCGTGGGAGCAGAGGCGCCCAGATCTCCTAGATGGGCCCCCTCCCCAGGGTGCATGTGGCATAGGCATCTCTGCACCCTCCCCTGCTGGCTCATGGACCGGCCACCCTGGCCTTCTGGGGGATTTACTGGTGCAGGGAGCACAGAGTGCAGAGGGGAGCCACCCCCCGGACAGGGGTCTTTTGGGGGTTACATTATGGTGTCCAGTCACCCGAATAGAGACTGAGCCAGCTTTCCGCCTTGCCTGAGGTCTAAGGGGCTCTATTTTGCTTCCTATCAAGTTAAAAGATCCACAGTGCTTGGATCCTTCATTATCTGGAGTTTGCTTCCTGGCACAAGTGCCAGTGCAGTGGGAGGGGGTGCCAGGTGCACCCTGAGTGCTCAGGCCATTGTCTTCAGCAAGGGCTTGAGAAGTGAGACTGAGGCGCTTCCCTGCCCTCCCTGCTCTTCCTGGCGTCCTGGCACACTTCCTCTTGTCAGTTGTTTTTCTTCCTTCATTAACCAACTTGAAGGATCCCAGGGAGGCCCACTGTCATTTAAAAGATGTAGCAAACTGTTGCTTATTAAAACTGAGCAATGTGAGGGAGGGAATCCAGGGATTCTTGGAACACCACAGTGGGGTGGGGGGGAGTCCTCGCCCAGGATGTGACTCAAGGAGCCCAGGCCCTTCCGTGGAGAGTCCAAGGCTATGAAGCCTCTGATCTGAGACATAACCCTTCGCTGAGCTCAGGGCCAGGCTTCCTGGGACAGCTGCTACCGGGACCCGAGGGAGCGACCAGCCGTGCTCAGGGCACTCTGTTCCAGGTTCTGGGCAGCTCACTCTCCTCAAGGATCTCCACTGAGGCTGGAATCTTAGGAACTCAACATTCCTCCTGCATCCTTTCTCTCCTCTCCTCCTCTCCCCTCCCCTCCCCTCCCCTCCCCTCTTCTCTCCTCTTTAATATACTGCAGTCTAAGGATCTATTTCTGTGCAGGAACCTTAACCTAGGGCTTGCTGGATTGATGTCACATAGTAGGCACTCAGTCTTGGTGAATGGGAGAGCCAGCAGGCTGCCCAAGAGCCATCTGGGCAATCTGCAGGGCTGTGATCTCCCTGTCTGCTTTGTGGTGGAGGTTTCCAGGGGAAAGCTGTGCCCCTCTGCAGTGGGGCTAGGGACCGTGGGTCCCTCCCCACTGTGGAGGTGAACAGACTTGGTATGGCTGAGAGGAGCCAGACAGGCTCATCCCACTTGACACCACCTAGAGCTTAGGCCAGTTCTGTTTTGAAAACTTGACGCTGTGTCCCTCTGATTGCCAAAAGATTCAGTGATGCAGCCATGTCCCAAGGTCTGCATCAGTGGTTCTCAAGTGGGGGCAATTTTGCAAGTTTCAAGAGACATTTGGCAATGCCTGATGACATTTTTGACTGTCAGGACTTGGGAGAGGAGGGGTTTGCTCACGGAATCTAGTGGGTAGAGCTGGTAAACATCCTACAGTGCACAGGACAATCTCATGGCACAGAATCATCTCGCTCCACTGATGTCAGTTGTGCCAAGGTTGAAAACTGTTGAGAGCCTTCGCAATTAGTCTGTTTCTGATTCTCAAGCCAGAGACTCACTTTCCCACCCAAGTGTAATGTGGGAATTTAATTTTTTTTCTTTTATATGCCAAAGTACGGGAAGTTCTAGAGTGAGTGAGTGAGTGAGGTCTCTGCCTTTTCTTCTTACAGGACCAGAGCAGATGTATCGGTCACAGACAGGTGGCGCTAGCAGGGCCTTGAGGTTCCATGTGTGACCACTAGGGGGCAGCAGTGATTTCTCCAGGGTGTGGGGTGCCTAAGGTGTTTGTAGTTCCTAACTCTTGTCCTGAGGCAGCCTAGGAGGTGCAGCTAGCTATTGGGAACACGGAGATGGAGGTTACAGATGCTATGGAGATAGAAGAAAATCGCTTCTCCTTATGAAGTAGGCAAGAGGGTTTTAACAAGCGGGGCCCCAGGGCCTTGAAGATCACAAGCTTTGCTCTCCACTGGGCCCCACCTCTTTCCCCAGGTCACCCTGATCCAGGGCGAGAGCCAGACTAGCTCTCCCTTTACACTCCCCGCCCAGGAATCCTGGCTATGTGAAGCCCAGGCCCTATGGCCCATCCCAGCTCCCACAGCACACCGGGGCAGCTGCCTGCACCTTGTCAGGCCACGAGTTCTGCTGACAGCAGAGGGCAGAGCCTGGAGAGTCACTGGCCAGCTCCCTCCTTAGTCACTGGTGGACCGCTCACCACACCTGCTGTGAGGTGAGGACAGTAACCCAGATGGGCCTGGCGACCTCCGGCCCCCACAGCTAGGTCATCTACATGAAAGCAGCAGGGGACAAATAGCTCCTGTGCAAGAGCAAGCAGCCTTGACCTCTCTGCAGCAGGGGGGCCTCCCTGAGCAGAGGCAGAGTGGCCCTAGATGAGCCCTGGGTGCTGCAGGAAGGAGGCACCTGCACTCCCATTTCTGTTCTGGATGCTCTGGCTCTGGGGAAGTGGGAACCAAGTTCCCCTGCTTGGGGAGGTGAAGCCAGGTGGCTTCAGAGAATGCTGTGCTGATGAATAAGAACAATAAACTATAATGAAATAATTAGGAAGTGAACTATGACACCCATTCTGGTTTGACTATTACCCTCTTTTGAAGTCCTATAAAGTCTCCAATGTTTTGTTTTTATTGATTTTGTTTCATACCACTATGTTCAATTTTATTTACCTGATGATGGGGCAATTCTATTGAAGATAACAAGAGACATCATGGTAACCATTGTAGATCACCTTGTATTGTGGTTTTAAATTATGTACTATGTCCATTCTTTTGTTTTGAATGACTCCATTTTGGTTTTTTTTTCTTTTCTCATTTAGTTTTATTCTTTTCAAAATAAAAAAATAATTAGGAAGTGAGACATCTATTTGTTACCTTTGTTTTATGCAATTCATTTAATTGTGTTAATATAACTTTTTTTTATGACTGTGTTTAGCTTTTGGCTTCCACAATTCCTTAAACTTTTTCAAATGGTTTTAACAAAACCAAACTGCACCGACACAGGCGCAGCACTGCACTTCATGTCAGAGGATGAGACCCAGAGAAGCAGCTGAAGACAGTGTCACGTCTGCCAGGCTCCTGGGAGAACCAGTGCGCAGGCACAGCCATACCTCTCAGGATCATGGCAGGAGCTCCGCCCTCCAGGTATCGGACAGAGTACCAAAGAGGGGCTTCGCTCTCTTCACAGCTTCAATTAAGACTGAGTGTGTCTGCTGGACACCAGCCCGCCTCTCATCCTAGACCGCCAGGCTTCGTCATTGCCCTTGACCCTATCACCTGGTGTCTGTGCCAACTCCGGCTCCATTCTGGTGTCTGTCTGTCCTTTCTCTAGCTTTAGCCACTTGGGTCTCTCACTTGCGTCTCCTGCTCTGGGACCTTGGAAAGGTATTAGATTGTTGATTTTCTTTTCAGCTTACACGGGTGAGGTCCTTCCCATCCCAGCTCTGGGTAACCACTCTCTACCCACCTTAGGCGGGCTATGAGGCTCTCACACAGACACTGGGAGGCCTTAGCCAGCAGGAGTGGATCTCAGTCCCCCTTCCTTCTCTACCTGCAAATACTGGAAACATCTGATAAGGAATGCAGGGTGCAGGAACGCCGTGCTGCCTTGTCTATGCGCATTGTCTGTGGGCTAAAGCATAGTCTTTCTCTTTGGAACTGCAGCTCAACTTCCTTTCTTTTAGCTGCGGAACACTGTTGGGCCCTGGCCTGAATCCAGCTCGGAGATGTTAAAGGGGAACTAGGGAAAAATGTGATCTTAGCTCGGAGTGATTGTTCTTCTGAGAATAGATCCTGCTTCAAACAGTGCAGGATTCTCAAGCCTCCACCATTCTCCAAGTTGCCAGTGGTTGGGGGAGGAGCCTCCCAATGTCTCCAGTCTCTCAGCCCACTCACCAATCTCCTCGTACCGCATCACCGTGCCCAGATTGGCATTTTCATCTGAAGGAGAAAGAGGGGACACAAAAGCTTTAGGGAGCAGAGCACCTCCTGGGTGAGAGTAGCAGGAATGGGACGCAGGACACAGGCCTCCCTGCTCAGGGACATCTAAGGAGGGCGAATGGAGAGCACAGGCTGCCTAAGGTGGACCGGGAGCACGCTTTACGTTTCTGGGGTTTTCAGAATTACACAGCCTTGCCCGGGGATCAAAGGCAAATGCACATACCCATGCCAAACACTCGCGATTTCTTCCCATATTTTAAGGGGGTCTGCTCACAAGAGCAGTGTCCTTGAAAGCTAATGGGACAGCTTTTAGAGTCATGGGAGGTGGCCATCTTTTTTGAGGGGCCTCTTGGTTTAAAGAACTAGCAAAACTGGGGACGTGGAGGTTTTTCTGTGGCAGACATAGAAGAGCCACAGAGAGATGTGAAAGGCAGGGCTCTCAGGGTGTGGCGTCATTGTGGAGGTACACATGGGGCACAAGTGCACGTGCATGCACAGCACACGCACACACACACCCCTGCAAGCTGCTGTCTAGCTGCCTGCCTCTCTGCCTCCTCAACCAACCTTCTTAGAGCCTTTCAACGTGCCAGAAAATGGAAATCTCAGACATGGTGGAAGAGGCAGCAGGGGATAAAGGAACAAGGTCCAGGCCCGCAGTTCTTGCGCACAGTTAAATCTGAGGCTCGGAGGAAAAACAGACCCAGACACTCTGATACTCCCACCCCGCTGAGTCTTTGGGGAAACAGGCAAAAGACAGAGGGAAATAGGGGAAGAACACCTGCCTCTCGCAGGAGGACGCGTACTGCTGGAGCAGGGAGGACCTGTGGGAGGGTTCGGGCCCCACCAAAAGCCTGTAGGTACGCTGAGTCCTTCTGTGTGAGCGCAGGGTAAGGAATGAGCATGGGCTGGGGAGGGTGGTGCTCGTGAAAGGTCTCAGGCAACCCCAGGTTAACGTGATCCTCTGTATGTTGGAAGGGAGGCCTGGTCACATTCCTGCATACCTCTGGTCTCTGTCAGCCTCTGCTCTATAAAAGGTCATCCCTTAGTCTGTTTTGTCTGCTGTAACAAAATACCATAGGCAGGTGGCTTATAAACAACAGATACATATTTGTGACAGTTCTAGAGGCTGGAAGATCAAGGTGTTGGAAGACTTGTAGCTTGAGAGGGCCAGTGTCCTGGTTCCTAGGTGGCATCTCTTTACGGGTCCTCAAGATGATAGAAGAGACTACTAGCTACCTCCTGGGCTTCTTTTATAAGAGCAGAACTCTCACTCATGTGGGCTCCATCCTTAGGACCCAATCACCCTCCCAAGACCCCACTCCCTAATATCGTCATCTTGGTGGCTTGAATGTCAGTGTATGAATCTGAGGGACAGGGACATTCAGACCACAGCACAGGCACTTGAGGGCATTTGCTGATGCATGAAGGGTGCGGGGAAAGAAGACAGAACTGAGGAAGAGCTCGCTTACCTACGAAGGTGAAGCGCTCCACTGGCGGGCGCACGCAGCAGATCCGGCTGAGGCTCTCTCCCACCTTCCCCAAGATTTTGGCTGAGGGAGAGAGCAAGACAGACAGGGACAGAGGGAAAGAACCACTCACAACTTACACCGTGCCGGCTTAGCACTGGGGCCACTCTACACTGCGGGGGGACACTGGGAAGGCGGACGGGAGTGGAAAGCAGGAGGAGGGTGGAGAGAAAGAACAGAAATATGACAGCCAAAGTTTCTCCTGCCCAGTCTCAGCCCAAGGCACAAGCATTCGGAGCCACGGACTAGAGTCCATTTACTGGTTGTGTTCATTACATTTTTGAAAGTTGGAAAATATTAAAAGAGAAAAATATCTATGAAGGAAAACAAAGAGCGTCCATAGTTCCACCTCTAGAGATAACTGCTAATGTAGTACTGCGCTTTTTCTGCTGTTTAAAAAATGTGTATTAATTAAAAAATACAGTGTATTGCTGGGGATGTAGCCCAGCAGCACAAGCACCTGTCTGGCAAGTGCAAGGTCGTGTGTTTGATCCCCAGTACAAAAAAAAAATTGTGTACTATGCAGGTATGGTTAAATAAATCAGATCAGATTCTACATTTATAGAGCATATATGCTGCTCATTTTCTTCTTCTTCTTCTTCTCTTCTCCTTCTCCTTCTTCTTCAGGAGCATTTCCCCCCAGGCTTGCCCCAAGCCTGTTCTTAGCCATCCCCACACTGCACAGTGACTCCCACATCCAGAAGGGATCCAGCCTGTGGCAAAGCACACCCTGGGTGAAGCATTCCTCCCCGTGCAGGTGGGTTTTATAACCTACATCCTATCTGGCTGAGAGGGTTCTGGTTCTCAATCCTCTCTCTAGTCCAGAAAATGTCTCTGAACCCCCATGTGGAGCTATATACAAACTGTGAAATTCTGGTTCTTCTTTGGGTATTACCCTGGTTATCACAGACCAATAATACAATAGCTTACGGTCCCTAGGCTCAAAAAGCATAGCATCATCTGCCTCTTCAAGCTGGTCTGGAAGAGTTTAGAACATAGACGGTGGAGGCCAACAGGACCAAACATGAATTGAAGCCATTTTGCTTTTAAGCAGAATGACCCTGGGCGAGTCCCTGACACCGGAGCATACAGCTGTCTCACAGAATTTCTGCTGCAAGTGAGAACACGTGAAAAGTGCTGAGCACCCCCAAACACCCTGCACTAGGAGTCGGGTAAGTGTCGGTGACCCCTATTCCTTGGCTCCGATGAGATGACTAAATGTGGGAGGTTCTGGATGCAGACGGCCTAGATGTGACTGTTCCCTCACTGTGTGACCTTCCCCCAAACCTCAACCTCCCTGAAAGAGGCAGTGAAAATGGTCCCTTTTGTATATTTAACTCACAGTTACTGCAATTAACTTTCTATTTAAATGCACATAAGGAATGCACCCCACCGTTTCTCTCTCTTGCCTCCCTCTCTCTCTGTGAGTCTATCAGTGCTCTTTATACCACTGTGAAAGTACAGTTCCTCGGCCAGCAGCATTAGGTTTGCCCTATTAAAAATCCAAATCCTCCTCCCTCTCCCAAACCTGCTGAATCCGATTCTGGGGTGCGCCCAGCAGTCGGCATTCTAAGAAGCCCAAGGAGTGAGTGGGAAGCACCAACAGTCCCCTACCTGCTGTGGGCTTGGCGGACACATTGCTGTTCTGGTAAATGGGCTGGGGGGTCTCGTGCTGTGGCTGTCCGATCACAGGCGTCATAGAAGGTGTGTTCACGTTGGAGAGGATGCAGCCGGTCACCCTCTAGGGAGATGGAGAGATACTGAGTCAGCGTCACTAGTCAAGGGACTTTTCCCAGTTGTCTCCAAAGGGATACTTGCTTGTCCATCATGGTCAGCAGCCTAGATCTCAGGGAGATCCCTGAGGGTGGCTTCTAGACACAGCTGCCCCATGCGGTAGGTAAGCTGGCAGGAAACAGGATAGTTCAGTAGGAAAAGTGTGGAATACAGCACAGATCTGAACCCAGATTCAATCTTTTTCCAGTTGTGCGAACTTGGACAGTAATTAAACTCTCCTGAACCTCAACTGGAGTCTAACTCTATACCTGCCTTTTTGACAGGGGTAGGATTAGGCAAGCGAGCATATGCACATTGTCTTTGGAGAGCTTGGCAGATGGCAGGAACTTTGTAAGTGGCAGCCAAGGGCGTAGCTTTCTGCATATCGTGCCTATCTGGCCTCCCTGCCTGGTTCATGGGGCTAAAATGAGATCATGTCTGTGCAAGCGCTCTCCAAGCTTGGGAAAGGTCATGCAAACATAAGGCACTATCACCACCTGCAGCCTCTCCAGGCCAGAGATATCAGTAACAGAGCTCAGTGAGAAAGTGGTGCCAGGCTGAGCAGGATGTGTTTGTGTTGCAGGAAGTGGGTGGGTGGGTTCTGAGCCCTCTCTGGCCTGCTCAATGGTGTGAATACACATTCCAGAGCCAAGGGGAAATTCACTGTGTATTATCCATTATCCAGTGTTATCAGGCCTCCTGCTTTCTCCAGGGCTGCAGCATAGAGCTGATAATGCGGTGTTTTTCCCAGCCAACCTAGAAGTAACCCTCCCTTGCCCAAGGTGAGTGGGAAGCCAGTTCTGGGCAACTAAGAAGCAAAGGCCCAATTTTCAATCTGTTTAGCTTCACAAGGGCCGTAGCTTGTTCAGTTTCCTTCCCTGAAAGCCAGCATCTCAGCAGGGCTGGTGCCCTGTCCACCGCCCTGTCTGGGTCAGAGTCCTGTTGCCAGAGGATGCTCAAGCACCAGGCTGAGGTGACCTTCTAACTTTCGCCCACAGGCTACCCTGGAGGCACAGCAGCACACAAGCCCTCCGAGCCCTAAAAAATGGCAGCCATTCATCTTGTACACAACCTGTCATGTTCAGAATGCTCCTATAGGAGCAGGTCACAGAAGCATCCAGCCACATCCGGGAGCCAGTGGGGATCTTCTCAGTCTACTTTATGTGTTTCTCTGCCCTGAGCCCTGGAAGGAGTAGTCTCCTTCTTTTTTATTATTACACCTCCAGAAGGTAAAATCCCCCATTTTCATTTAATAACTGGTCTAGTGGCTGAAGGATTCCTTCCTCTTGCTGGACAAGTCCCATTTGGCATGTTCTGTCCTGGAGAAGATATGAAGATATGACTGGTTGTGGGCCCCATCCTGTCCTGGTTCTTGGAGGCCTTTCCAAACGTAGCCCTGAGTGCTTCTCTCTCTCTGGCAGGTCTACCCTCTGTGGAAGGGAGCGCAGGCCTCACGCCATGCCAGGGAAGGCGGAGGTTATTAGGAAGCAGCTCTGGGCTCTTACTGCCAGGCAGGGGGCCATCTGTGACCAACTCTGTCAGCCAGCCTCTGCCCATCACTGCAACAGCTGGGACTCCTGGCTGAGCTTCCTTGGCTCAGACTTATGCTTGGGGCGAGAGTAACAGAGTGGGTATTCACAGAAGACGAGGCTTTTGAACAACAAAACAATAGCCATTATAGCCGACATTCAGGGATGCTTGCAGGGGTCCCTCATTTCTCCCCTCCATCATGAAGCCTGAGGCTCCAATGTGACTAGAAGGAATACCCCGACTACCACAGGCCGGCTAATAAACCTGTGTAAAGTCCTGTGAGATTTTTAAGGATGCCTGTCACCACAGATATCTCAACCTATCCTGACTGATACGTTCTTATATAGTAGGATGGGGTGTCTTATATTACTATGTTATTAAAACCAGCACAGAGGAACAAGTCAATGTGACCCTAAGTCAGAAGCCTTTCAAGGGAAGCAGCAAAGATTCAGAGTGTATGTGAAGACTCCGAATGCAGAGGAAGGGAGACCAGTTCTGTTCAGCTCCACGAGGGAAGGTGGGGTCCCTTAGTACACCGAGCAAGAGCCAGCTGGTCAGCTCTAGCTCGTGTGCTCCTGGCTCCAGGTCTAGAAAAATGAAACTCAGCTGTGGCTGGCAGAAGTGGTGGTCAGGCGCTACCCTCCAAGGAGTGGAGGCTTTCCAACAGCAGGAACAGAGATGGCTGGACATGCTCTCTGCACCACGCTTCGTTGTTATTCTACGTACATCAGAGTCAGAGGAGGTGAATGCAATTTATGTTTGGTTGTCTTGGTCACTCAGAATTCTCTGAATCAACAGCGCTGCTTTTTCTCCTTCCACTGTGGGGGTTTATGGGTCGGTATTGATCTGGGAAGGGCGCTCTCTGCACACGCTGGCTGGTGCTGCTGACTGGATGTATCCCCTTCTACCTGGCAGCCAGCCCTTGGGCCTCTGAAGCCCACACGCAGGCCCAGGGCGCCAGTCCAGAATGCAGGAGCTCTTGTCCATCTGTGTTCACTAAGGCCCATGACATGTCCTCCAGCATGTGGGTTCCTCTCTGTCCTCCCTTTTATCCACTGAGAAAACACAGATGAGATACCATCTGCCCCTGAAGCTCTCGTGGAGGAGGAAGGCAGGGATGAGATGCAATGGCCAGCAGGTGTGTACAGTGCCCTAGCTGCAGCAACCTTCCCTGGAGGGAGAGACTCACGGGTCCCTCACAGAGGGTGCAGAGGGCCTGGCTGCTCATACCGACTCCAGTCTCTTTTCTCCTGCCTGCCTTTCTCCAGCCTCTTCTTCTTCTCACTATCTTAAATTTTATAACTGTGATCTCCTCAATCCCAGCCTGAACTAGCTCCCAGCTGACGAAAGCTGCCCCAGCCATGTGAAGCAGCAGAAGTATTATATGACATCCAGGTGGGAAGCCAAGTGAGAGGCTAGAAGACCAGGGGAAGCCCCAGTGTGCTCCCGGGTCCTAATTCATTGCCTTTTTTCGCGCAACTAAGAGGCTGGACTTTCTCACAGAGGGCAAGGAAGTAGGAAACTGCAACCAAGTCTGTAGGCCCCCAATCTCCTGTCCTGCCCCGTTTTGCATCCTTGTAGTCCCCCCCCCCCCCAGTGGTGTCCCGGCTCACCTTCATGAGGTCCCGGTGGTGTTCCAGCACACTGCAGGTCGTCTGCCAGGTGTCCTGGTAGCACTCCCACGGGTCCACCCTAACGTCATGGGAGAGAAGTTTCCCTTGGTTTCCATTCCCATTGGTTCTGTATTATTTCCTTCCAGTGATCACAGCTCAGGGAATTTAGCAGACCTGATCGTGTTATATGCTTAGATCTTGTATTAGTTACAACCTGACTTTAAAGTACTTCCTGAGCCTCAGTTTCCTCCTCTGTACACTGAGAGAAGTCTGTCATAGGCGTATGAGAAAAGATGCTGCTGCCAATCTACCGGGTTTAATTCCAGCCCCAGCCCTTTCCAAGTGCGAAAGCCAGATAGGGAAAGTCAGGTGATCTTTCAGTGCCTCGCTTTCTCTACCTGTAAAATGCATGTAACAGTGTTGATTGTCTTGTGGTTTGTCAGGACTCAGTAAATATTATACGCATATGTAGAGTGTCTTGCTCTTATTCTTACTTGCAAAAGGGAATTCTCCTGTGGCCCTTAGAGGAGTGTGATAAGAATTAAGTGAGCCAAGTCCTCAGCAAGAGGGACCTGAGGTTTCCGGTCAGCTGCAGACCCTGGAGCATCTGCCCGGGCTGCCTGCCTGTGCCTCCAGGTGCCTTGCGGGCATGGAGGTGAGGTACAGCAGTCAGACCAGATGGCACAGACCCACAGACCAGTCACCGCTTCCCAATGCTGGCTTGGGAAGTCAGCAGGGATCCAGCCCCCAGTGATGCACACTTTCTTGCCAGCTTAATGAGCTACTAAATCGGGACATTTCTCAGACACTTCCTTAGAACTTGAGCATTCCCTAGCCACCATCCTCCTGCCCTGCATAGGTCTCTGGGTTCCACAGATCAGATCTCACTAAAAAGGGTGAGGGAGTCTGCTTGCTCTGAGCTGGTTCCCCGAGACCTTCTCTCCTTCCCCCCTGCACATAAGAGTCTCAGAGGAGTAGCAGCTCCCCTTTCTGGACTGGCTCTTGGACTCCCTAGTGCTCTCCATCCTGATTTTCCAAGTGCCTAGAACAGCGTGAGGCAGGCCACCAGCACTCAGTAAATATTTACTGAATGAATGAGGGACTTAGTCCAGAATCTTCTAAGCACATCCAAACAAAAGCAGTCTCTTGCCCAATGTTTTCCCCACCAGCTCCTACTTTCCCAGCAGGTCAGGAATGGCCTCATTTCTCATCCTGATGTGATGACAGCTGCATTGTCTCCTGAGTGCTTGGACAGTTCTGGGCCTGTGTCCACCTGAGGAAAAGCAGCTATGTCCCTACTTACCTGCACCTTGAGGGGGTGAGAAAGTCTGCAAAGCGTGTGTGCTTCTCACACGAATCACTGCGCTCCAGAAGCAAGGATCACCCTTTAATCACTCCTGCTTCCCTTCACCACTCTCATTTCCTCCTGTCCACCCTCCCCAGTGACTCGGGCTCCCCTTCTCAGGTCACCGTCCCCTCATTTCCCTCACTTCATGGAAACCTCCAGATGCTGCTTATTTTTCCACAGGGTGAAATTGAGGCACAAATGGTGTGCCATTATTTTCATTTAAAAAAATCATCTTATCATGCAAATTATAATGGTAGGAACTTGGGGGAGCATCATTAGCATAATTAGTGGATGCTTGCTTTAATTATACCAGCAGCACAGGCGACCCTATGGGGGACAGGCTGCCATCTCGATGGCACATCTGTCTGGGAAAGGCAGCGAGCGGAAGGCACTCTGGGTGTGATTCGATGTGGACATGGGAAAGGGCAGTGCCTGCACCTCTACGACTTGGTCTGGAGCTCAGAGCCCGAGTTTGGGAAGGGGCCATTGCCCAGGCCAGGCAACACTGGCTGGCGGATAGCAAGTGAGAGTTAATGAACTTCATGGGATGCAAGCTGGGGGCAGTTCAGACTTGCTAGCCATGCCTCCTCCAAAACCCAGTGATGCTTTCAGAAGCTCTAGGAATCGCACCAGGACCCAGGGGTGCCTATGCAGACAAAACCCTTCCGGGCTCCCTCTTACACCATTTGTGCTGCAATTTCACTGCAATTAGTTTCCTGACCACCACAGCCGGCTTAAAAGACAAAGGTACCCACTGAGTCACCCCTTGAAGTCTAGGTAATCATTGCCCGCACAGAGCTGATAGTTCTCCTTTGTGTCCCCATCCTTGTGGGAATCAAAGTGTTGCTGGATTCTTCCTCTTTCCCCACCCCAACCCCAGTGAGCGCAGGGCCACCTGCTTCTGCCATCTTCAGGCCCAGCCTACCTGATCCAGTCGGAGTTCTGCACTGCCAGCTGACACATGATGAGACGGTGCCGACTTGACACGAGGCCCTGGGAAGCAACAGAGGGGTCACAGCGGCCTCCCTCCACCCCCACCACCCCCGGCCACCAGCTCAAACACCTCTTATCCAGAGAGCAGTCAGCTGCTGGCAGTAAGAGGGAACAGGATCTGTGACCCCATTACTTTCCATCTGCCACACAGACTGGCATGAAGCGGTGAGGGGAAGAGGAAGGGTGAAGGGTGTGTGGCATGTACCACCCCAGCAGGGTCAGAGATGAGCCTCCTCAGGTGGGGCAGGCAAGGTATGCCCTGCAGAGACCTGAGACCTAACTCACTAAACGCTCCCTGCTGAGGCCTCGGCCTGGCTGGTGAGGTGACCTCTCCCAGAGCCCAGCAATATCCGCACGACAAGGCAGGAATGAGCAGGATGCTCCTAAACTTTCTGGGGCATGCAGCATGGAGAGTGGGGGAGGGAAATGAATTTAAATCTGATACTAAGAGGCAAAGGATGTCTTCCCTTCAGATCCCAGGGAAATCTTGTCCCATGCAGCTCAACCCATAACCAGCCATGGATTTGGCATCTAGACTGAGCCACCCCAGTCTGGCACGTCTCTTTCGATGAGCATGGACTGGGCCTGGCATGAGTGGCTGCCTGTCATGGGCAGCTGCTCTTCCCAGCTGCTGCCCCGCCCCGACACCCACTCACTCAGGTCTGGATGTGGGCCACAGGCAGAGGCAGATGCCTGCTTGGGGACATTTTGCATTTCCAGGAACCTTAGCAGAGAGGGCAGGGTTTCTCTGGGCACTGTTAAGTGAGGGACAGTGAAGGAAGGGGGCACAGGAAGCGACCCACCTGTTTCCCATAGGAGTCGTGGACAGGGGAGACGATGCCGCCAATCACAATAAACCTTCCCGTCTTGTGCAGATAGTCTCTGGCTCTTTCTGATTAAGAGAAGAACACCACGCATGACTGAGAGGGAAGGTGCAAACGTAAGGCTGGTGACTGAGATCAGTACGTCAGCTCTGTAACACTAGGGTTTACTTTTTGCCATTTAAAGAGAAAATGTCAACTTTGAAAGCAAATGTTGTTGGTTTAAAGGGTTATGGAAGCTGCTTTCAGTTCTTAAAGGGAACAGATTTGGAGCGAAGGGGATTAATGCAGTTTTAAAGGCTCTCCGTTGGAGGAGCCCTGTGTAGCTCGGAAGGGCTTAAAACAAGCTCCTCATTAAGAGCCCGTAGAGCAACTGATTGGAATTTACCCTTATTGTTATTTTCAGAAACTCCAAGAGGAGTAGTAGTTTTTTAAGAAAGAAAGGCTCTTTATAATATGAAAGATGTGCTGATTGCCTCATCTAATTACTCGGGAGAGATAAACCACCAAAACAAATTTAAAGGGTCTCATATAATTATGGAGAATTAACAATCAGCCCCACATGTCTGCCATCATCATGGTTCCTTGGGAAAAAGTCTGGCCAGAGAAAAGTCTTTTCTCCTTTGGAAGGAATGTGATGTTGCTTATCCAAATGAACCTGCCAAGCCCAATTTCACTTTATGATAAAGTTCAGCAAACCACGAAGTCTTACTTCCAAGAGGAACAGACTGTATAAATTCCAACTCTGGATCCCCCTGCCTCAGCCTCCCAAGTGGTAGGATCACACGCATGCGGCACCAGGCCCAGCTCCAGCGTGGATTTTATATTGATGGGATCTGGAAATGAAGGAGAAGCTGGAAAGCAAGGCTGACTGTCTACATTACAAGCAAGTTTCCAGGATCTCCTTGCTGACTCTCTTATTAAAAAATAATTCGCACCACATTTGCTTTCTTTTGTTCTTTTGACATCTCTTTAGTTTAAAGAAATTACTGGGCTATCTTAACATGTTTGGATTTATGGAATAACAGCAGATTTACAGATACATCGAATTTTATATACTCAGCCCCTCTCCTCTCAGCCCCACTTCCACAGATTCCCTATGATATGAATGAACTTGTGCTGGCATAGCAAACACGTTTGTTACACTTGATTAACCAATAGTAACACGTTACCGTTAACTACTGTTCACGGTTTACATCAAGATTTCGTCCTGGGGCTGAGGATGCAGCTCATGTACAACACTTGTGTGAGTGAGCACTAGTATGTGTGAGAACCTGAGGTGGATCCCAAGTACCATTTCTGTGGTACTTGGAAGGAAGAAGGAAAGAAGGAAGGAAGGAAGGAAGGAAGGAAGGAAGGAAGGAAGGAAGGAAGGAAGAAAGGGAAGATTTACTCTGTACTACAGAGCTCTATGGGATTTGACAAATACGTAATGCCCTAAAATTCTTCTGTGCTCTATCTATTCATCCCCGCTTTCTCACATCAATCTCTAGCAACCACCCAGCTCTTTACTACTCCTAGAGACTTGCCTTTGCTAAAATACCATACAGTTTGTGGCCTCTTCAGACTGGCCTCATTTACTAAGCAGTATGCATTTAAAGTTGTTAAGGTCCCTCCATGTGTCTTCCTGTCTCAACAATCTTTTTACCACTAAGCAATATTCCACTGTCCAGATGTACTTCAGTTTGTTTATGCATCCATCCACCCACCCACCCATGCACTGAACGATATCTTAGTCACTTCCAGTATTTGGTCTAGGAGTGCTGGATCTATGGTAAGAGTGTGTTCAGCTTTGTGAGATGCTGCAGCAGTGTCTTCCAGGGTGGTGCCTTTTGCATTTCTACCAGTTGGGAATGAGAGTTCCTCTGCTGTACATCCTCATCAGCATTTGATGTTGTCATGTTTTGGGACTGTAGCCATTTTAATAAATGCATCACTATTGCTCTTTTTTTGGTACTGGTGATTGAACTCATGACCTTGCACTTGCCAGGCTGGCACTTATGCCGCTGAGCTAACTCCCCAGCCCCGCCGTAGGTTTTTATAAGCGCCATCTTACTTCCCCACTTCCCAGTCTTATTTTGAGGGTAAATTAAAGGCTGTGTAACAAAACTCTTCGATAGCTGAATGAATTTCACAGTTCACCCTTCCTTCTTTTGCGCCTTCATAGCTCCGTCCTCCTCAGGGCCATGACCCTAGGCTGTCACAATCTCTCTGCTACAATGAGCCAACCCTTCCTTACTCTTTGCCTCCCAAAGTGCCCTCTCTTTTCTCTTCCCTTACTCAACCACTTCATTTGAAGCCCATCTTGACCCTGGATCCAGGATCTCTGCTCCGTCCTACATCACCTCCTCTAGACTTAAACTGTCCGACTACACCCAGTCTGACGGACCTGGAACTTGCCTGTGAAAGTTCTTGTTGCCACTCCTCTTCCCAACTGTGAGCTCCTCAAAGGAGAAGACTTTGCCATAGGTAAGTGGTTCCGAACTTACAGCCCCAGGATACGCACAGTTAACCCACAAGTGAAAAGCAAGGTGCGCATAAGTCAGGTAAGGTCCATGTTGCCTTTTGGACCACCACGCATGAGGGTTTAGGAAAATATTTCTGTGGCCCAGTCTGTCGCCCATGCTGAAGACTTCTTTGGCTGTTGAGCACCCAGCAGGATGACTGGTTTACTGTGTAGTAGCTGCTCAGTAAATGCCCACACCTAGAAACCTCATGGAGCTGCCACTCCTACACTTAAGACTTGTAAAGGGTCCTTCCTCGGCCCACTCCATTGTTGAACACATTCTAGAATGTCCAGGGGACATCTGTTACTTCAGTGACCTGCCTCAGAAGTGGTCACCCTTTTCTCCTGGGCAAGAAGCAGGGCCTGCTCCCCGGCAATGCCTTAGAGTCCACTGTCTTGAGAAAAGGCAGTTTATGAAAGGTGTAACCCCAACCTTGATCTGCTATACTTAATCCCGGAAGAGTTGTATCATACAGCTCGACTCAGTTTAGTACATATTTATTTGCATAAAACCTGAGGATGGGTGCTAGAGATGTCAGGGTAAGGATGACTTTATTATTCTCCACAAGTCTACAATAATAGGGAGACACAGGGTCATACAAATGATTCTAGTGAGGGGCAAGGCGACATGAGTGCCATAGCAATGACTTTTAATGTTTCTCCTGTTTTATTCCAATTCACACAAAATACATGTAAATCATGCTTTAATGGAAAGAAATACATCATGAGAACCTTACCACAAGACTGCACATTGATATTCTCTATTACATTATTATTATTGTCTTTCTCAAACAGGGTCTTGCTATGCAGTTCAGGCTGGCCTTGGGCTCACTTTGTCTTGAACTTGAAAAGATCTGCCTGCCTCAGCCTCCCAAGTGCTGGGATTACAGGAGTGCGCCACCACGCCCAGCTTTTTGTATTCTATTCTTGTTACTATAAATTTAAATGGAAAGCTGGTCACAGCCTATGATAGGTGGAAAACCTATAGCTGAACAAGTCTTACAGTTATGGTGATAAGGGCAAGGAGGAAAAGCACCAGAAGAGATTCAGTTCTCCTGGGGGAGATGGAAATGGCTTCTTGGAAAAGGTACATTTTAAGTGTGGCCTTGAGGAAAGATAGGATTTCAACAGACAAAGTGAAAAAGAGCTTTCTAAGCAGAATTCTAGCAAATGCCTAGAAATTTTACAGTGTAAGGCGTGTCCACCAACTGGATTAGTCTCCTCCACGTGGCTGGGCTGTGGAGGACTTTGTAGGAGTATGGTTGAAAGTAAGGGGTGCTGTGGGCCACATCAGTTAGAATCAGATTACTCTGAAAACTAAGCTAAATGGTGTGAATTCAATGTGTATTTTGTGTGGGAACCACCTGGGATGTGTGGGGCAGCTGGTTCTTAAATGCATACTCCCTGGTCCTGCTCCAAAGTGTTACTGAATCAGAATCTTTGAGGTTGGAACTTCACCTTCTGCATTTTAAATCAGTTTCTCCAGTGATCTTCTGTTTTGAAAAGTTTGAGAACCACGTCATACAAAGATAACACTCAGACAGTTCACATCTATAGACAGTAGAGAATCATCAATGCTTATTGAAGTGATAAGCTCTTAACTGGAAGACAAATTCAGAGATGGCATAGGGGATGAAGATGGTGACAACACCTAGGAAGTAATCCTACTTTAAAACAGACAGTCCTTTCAACTTGGAAATTTTGGAGTGGCTGACAGCAGGATGGACAAGGGAAGTGACCAACGGCAACTTCCCAGGAATGGCCAGGAACCACAGAAAGCAGGATTTCCCTCCTCCACCCAAACGTTTTGTCTCGTTTGGCCACTAGAGGTTGTTGAGGTTGGACATATCACCGTCATCCCACCTGAGCATCAGTCTTTTAGATTTTATAATTGAGCTAGCAGTACTAGGTTTTATACTTTGCAATTCACTAGTTGCCTTGTTTCTTCAACTTGAGTGCAATGTCAGGTAAGAAGGGGCACTCAGCTAAACAAAAGTGGCCAGGAGCAGATAGGATTATTGTCTTTCCTTTTTCCCAAAGAGCTTCCAGTTGCTGAAAAGTCTGCCTAGACTAACCCAGGAACTGTGATACAGTGCAAATGACATTGAGATCAGAAGACGTCTAAATCTTGGGCAACTCATAGTTCCCCTGAGCCTTAAATTCTATATCCATATAGAACTTTCCTTCTTTGTAAGGTTGTTATGAGAATCAACTCAAATTATGAATATAAAAGTGCATAGTCCCCAAATGGCTTTACTGGAGAATCCCACTAAACACTTAAAGAACCAAAGCCAACTCTACATAATCTCTTCTAGAATATAGGAAAGGAAGAAATATTTTCCAATTCATTTTATAAAGCCAGTATTATACATTATACTGATCTCGAAACCAGACAAAGATATTACAATAGAAGAAAATTATAGGCTAATATCACTTATGAATTTTGGATATTTTGTTAAGGATATTCCTAAGTAATATTAGTCTATGAGAGAGAGACAGAGAGAGAGACAGAGAGAGAATGACACTGTGATCAACTAGCATGTACTCCAGGATTTCAATGTTGCT